TCCTGCCTCCGCGGCAGCGCTAAGGATGTCCAACTGCAGCTTAGTTGTCAGTGGGACATCCCCCAAGGGCTTCTGGACTGCTAAAAGGCACAGGCCGGGCTGAGGGACCCACCCCCCACCCCCAGTGCATGAATGTCGTGCACCGGACCTCTAGTACAACTATGAAGATTTTGAAATGCAGTTAAGTGTAACCATGAAGACACAAGCACAACAGCCCGGCCTGTACCCTTGTCGTGCACCGGGCCTCTCGTTAATAAATAATAATATAAGAATAAACTGTGTTTCACATACTCACAACTGTAAACCTACTTTTACCTCACCCTGTATACAGATATAGACACAGATGTAGAAATATAGATGTAAATGTGTATGTATATGTACCTGAATGTATACACATTCATATTTTCTAGGTCTGTCCATTGCAAGGACCAGAGAGCAGAGATAGCCCAGAGCAATGAGCATATCTAGCACCCAGATCTTGACTCCTGATTTCTATTCTCCATTAAAAGCCACCAGTGCTGTGCTGGTGGTGTGGCTCGGTTGGGTGTTGTCCCATGCACAAGGTTGCTAGTTTGATTCCTAGTCAGGGCACATGCCCGGGTTGCAGACTCGATCCCCAGGGGGGGGTGTGCAGGAGGCAGCCAATTGTTCTGCTCTCACATCGATGCTTTTCTCTCTTTCTTCCTCTCCCTTCCTCTCTCTTTAAAAATCAATTTTTAAATTAAAAAAAAAAAAGGGGGCAACCAATGCTCCTTAGAAAATATGATTGATTCCAGGACTGGAACAAAGAACAAGATGAGTTTGAAACATTTTGTGCTCAGAGAATAAGGGAACATGTCAAAATAACACAAAAGCCAGTTTAAAGGGGCCCCCATTGTCCAAATCTGGGGCAATTTGAGCATCAAAATAAATCATAACAATAAAGAATTATAACCCATTAAATAAAATAGGGATCCTTGCGTCCACATTGGTGTACATACATAAATGGGAAGAGGAGAAAGCTCTTTCTTGGAGTAAAATACTAAACAATAAAAGTAAAAGGAATGATGGAGAAAGTCATTTAGCCACCATCATAGTAATAATCCATTCAGGCAAGAAGCATAGATGGATATTAAAATTATTAGGTGAAAATGAGATGAGGAATAAGATACTACATGGTCTCAAAGTGTTTACTCAAAAGGTATTTATTAATTACAGAGGGAGAAACAAGTTAAATTTATAGTGGAGAAATCTGGCAGACACCATTTTAATCAAGTGGTCAAATACCACTAAATAGCTATCATGTGTCATCAGACATAATGCAATGAGAACACAGCATCACTAATGTGGCATTCTGGCCAAAAATACATAACCTGAGTCTAATCATAAGCAATTATCAGACAAACCCAAATTGAGAGACATTCTACAAAATGACTGGCCTGTAATCTTCAAAAACACTAAGGTCATGAAAATCAAAGAGACTGAGGAACTGTTCCAGCCTGGAGGAGACGAAAGAGACATGACAACTAAATGCAACATGTGATTCTGGACTGGATCCTTTTGTTAAAAAGAACATTACTATGACAGCTGAAAAATCTGAACGTGGACTCTAGATGAAAAGGTAAAAGGCTATTCTTCATAGTATTTTTACAGCTTTTGTATAAGTTTGAAACGGTTTCAAAATTAAAAGCCTACAATCAAAGGTATGTTTCTCAATAAAAATCTAGATTTTTCAGCTACCATTAAAACACACACACAAAAGATCTGGCAATACCACCTGTCTTAGTCCTTTGGGGCTCCTATAACAAAATACCATAAACGGTGTAGCTTATAAACAACAGAAAGTTACTTCTCACAGTTCTGGAGGCTGGAAGTACAAGATCAAGACGCAGGCAGGTAGACAGCACCTTCCTGCTGGGTCCTCACATGGCGGAAAGGGTGAGCAATCGCTCCAGGGTCTCTTTTGTAAAAGGGCACTAATCACATTCATGAGGGCTCCACCTTCATGACCTAATCACCTCCCAAGACCTCACCTCCTAATTCCATCACCTCGAGGGGCAGGATTTCAACATATGAGTTTGGGTGCTGGGGGAAACAAACATTCAGAGAAATTCAAGAATGAAAAGAAAGCTGAGACTCAGAAGGGCAGCAATAGAAGAATTAGGAAAGCTTACCAAGAGCAAAGATATGTCATTGGAGACCAAGGCTAAGATCATCCACACCTTTGCATTCCCCATTACTATGTACGAAAGCAAACCAGGATAGTGAAGGTTACTAGGAAAAACACTGATTCATCTGAAATATGGTGCTGAAGGAGAGCTCTATGAACACCCTGGACTGTCAGAAAGACAAACAAGTGGTTCCCAGAGCAAATGAAGCCTGAAACATCGCTGGAAGCAAAAATGGCAAAACCGAAGTTGTCCCACTTCGGGCACATCCTGAGCAGGCAGGTTTCTTTGGACAAGACAGCAATGCTGGGAAATAGAAGGCAGCAGGAAAGAGGAAGAGCAACCATGAGCTGGACTGACTCCGTGAAAGGAGCCGTGGACACGAGTCTACAGGAGCAGAGCAGGGCTGCTAAGGACAGGACGTCATGGACATCACTCACTCCCAGGGTCACCAGGAGTCGGAGCCAATTCAAGGGCAGGTAACAGCCAAACATTCAGACCATAGCACCACCACAAACCAAGGACTTGCTGGCACTGAATCGCAAATGCCTTTTAGGCAGAGCATGTGATCTCCACTTCTCCAGTGACCACCTGACCAACTTCTCCAGTGAAGGTCCTTGTGAGCATTTAAGTTTGTGCCTCTTGATTTAGGCCCTCACATACCAAATTTCATCCTATTTAGGCCTGAAAGCTTCAACACAATTTCCTTCTTAGAAATCATCTAAAAGGGATAATTCTCTACAAGGTATCCCAAGCCAAATACTTATCCTAACTCATACTGAAATTTACATGATGAATTAAGTCTTAAACCTCCCTCTGAATGAAATCAAAATTTAGGGAAAGCTCTCATGACAGAATTTTATAGCCTTGACCTATAAACAAAAAAAAAGGTGGGGGCTCCACTCTTTTCGCCAAATCTGAAACTGGGTACCAGTTTGTGGCCTACTGATGAACAGAGAACTACATGCCCTTATGACATTTCTCACCTTCCACTCTGACCTTAGGACAACTCCCTGGGAAAGACGGGAAGCTGGAGCCACTCTATCTGGCTGTGTCACTCAAAGTATGAGCTATAAGACTATGACCTGGCCGGTGTGGCTCAGTGGTTGAGCACTGACCTTTGAACCAGGAGGTCAAGGTTCAATTCTGGTCAGGGCACATACCCAGGTTGTGGGTTACAGGCTTGATCCCCAGAAGGGCGTGTGCAAGAGGCAGCCAATAATTATTCTCTCTCATCATTGATGTTTCTCTCTCTTCTCCCTTCCTCTCTCTGAAATCAATAAAAACACATTTTTTTAAAAAAAAAAGAAATGAAGGATACACTAACTGAAATAAAGAATAATTTACATGGAATCAACAGTAGAGGATAACGAGAATCAAATCAAGAATTTGGAATATAAGCAAGCAAAAAACACTCAATCATAACAGAAAAAAAAAAGAATCCAAAGATATAAAGAGCCTCTGGGACAACTTCAAGCATACCAACATTCGCCTCATGGGGGTACCCAGAAGGAGAAGAGAGGGAGCAAGAAATTGAAAATCTATTTGAAAAAATAATGACAGAAAACTTCTCCTACCTGTTGAAAGAAATAAGACATCCAAGTCCAATATGCAAATCGACCCAACAGTGGAATGACCAGTAGCTATGATGTGCACTGACCACCAGGGGGCAGACGCTCAATGCAGGAGCTGCCCCCAGTGCAGCTCCTGCGTTGAGCATCTGCCCCCTCCCCCACCAGAGGGAGGTGACTGGCAGGGGCAGGGCTGACCGGCGGGCAGCTCCAGGCCGCCAGCCAAGGCAGGTGGGGGGGACCACCCCACAGATGGCCTTGATCGCTGGCCAGGCCTAGGGACCCTACCCATGCATGAATTTTGTGCATTGGGCCTCCAGTATAGTCAATAATATTCTAATAACTATGTATGGTGTCAGATGGGTTTTGGGATGATCACTTAATAAGTTTTATAATGTCTAATCACTGGGGTGTGCACCTGAAACTAATATAATATTGCATGTCAACTATAATTGAAAAAAAATTTTTTTATAATTTAATTTTTTAAAAAACAAAAAGAAAGAAAAGAAGAGGCCAGCCCTGAGGAAACCCTGGTACAGGAGTTATCTTTCAGCAGGTGAAGCCATTCAGAGCCAAAAAGGCCTGGAGGATGGAGAGACAGCACCTCAGGCAGCCCTGCCAGAAGCCACTGGGTTTCATCCTCGCCTGACCCAGAAAAATCTTATGGGAGAGAACAAGAGGCCCAAGAGCTCTCTGATCTGCTGTCAACCAGCTGCAGCCCCGAGACTGCCAAGTGCTGCAGTGACTCGGCAGCGCCCTACGGAGCCGTCTGGGAGGGGATTACCAGCCTGATCCCCCGTCTTTAGAGCCAGAAATGACTCAAACTTCAACAGCAAGGGCCTGCCAGGGAGGGTGACAATGAGCACTGGAGAGGGTTTTCTCCCCCTCGCTGGTGTCTCTTCCCCCTTCTTGCTGCTGCGGCAGATTCTGGACAGTGTACAGCCTGTGAGGTAATATGAATTCCTTGGCAACCAGCAAGTACCTGAATTCTTTCAAAACCACAGGAATCCAGCAGAGAAAAGGTAAATATCCCCGTGGAGCCAGTGTTAATTAGCAAAGAAGGCTACTGAAGAAGGAACTGGGGGTGGGGAGGAAGGGAAAGGCATTACAAATGCTTTGGGGTCTTTTCTGAATATCCACTGAGAACTATGGCTGAGACAGTCCCCATGGGGCAGTCTCGGGGTCTTTTCCTCCCACCCCCACAGCACGAGTGGCTCTCTCCCCGTTCCCTGGAGAGACACCTTCATTTCACCCAGCTACTAAGAACTACCTATCTTCGGGTCTCTGACAACACATTTGGTTTTCAACTTAATTGTGTTTTAATTTTTTTTTTTAGGTTGTTTTTTTTTCCTGTTTCAGTGAAAATTTGGCTATTGGCTCTGTCTCAAAAAAGGTCCAGTCAAATCATTTAGACCACATACTGGATCCACCTAAAACTGTAAAATCCAGGACAAAGTCTTTTTGGTTTCCACCTCTGATAGGAAAAAAATCTACACCATTTTGGGGGAGAATGCCACCCTCTCTGGAAGGTGAGTGTCCCCTGCTGGTGCAAAGCGGCAACATCCACATGCAACTCAAAAGCAGGGTGCACCTCCAGGGGAAAATGCCGGACCCAGATGCCAGAAAGACGATTTTTTTAGATGCTTCAACATTTTGCCCATGTATAAAAAATAATGAGTTTTCTTATTTCCTATGTTAGTAAGACAACAAGAACAACTGAAATTATTAATACAGAAACAAGCTATTAAGGCTCTTTTTCTTAAGTTTAAAAAGGTAAAAAACTTACAGAAACTACTTAGTTTACAGACTTAAGAAATGAACTTAATCTTTCTGTCACCTAAGCTTTAATTTGAGTCCCAAAGAGGTGATATGGGATAAGGCCATTCTTTTGTAAAGAAGAAAACCAATTATATTTGTTGCCAGTTTTGTTTCTTTAGAGAAGATTATGGTTTTCCTTGGTGAACCTCAAAGTAAAATGGCTTAGTGATCTCATCCCAAACTGATTGTCTTCAGTAATGTCTACATAAAACACACGTGACCCAAGATTTACTAGAGGCTGCAGATCTGGAGATGCTATGGACTACTGCTGAATGTAATGACACACTGGAGCAGACCTTGAGGATTAAAGAGAAGCAGATGAATGCCAAGATATACAGGGAGTTAAGACACAGGAACACAGGCACATGGAAGTTATTGTGCAGAGCAATGTGCCCTCGAAGGACTCCAGCTAGTAGCCTGTGACCATGTACTGTCCTTTCGTAAAGCTTTTATATTCACCAACACTTTTAGGTAAACGGAGACGAAGCCCTGAGAATTCCCATTTCTTGGTTCAATGTGACCCGAGTTTTTAGAAAAACTGTTCTCTAAATTACTCTAAGAAAAAGCATGCATTTAAAAATAGACAGGGGTGGTCAAAAGTAGGTTTACAGTTGTAATACAAATAAAAAATACAATAATAAATAAATAATAACACAAAAATAAACTCTGTTTTGTGTACTCATAACTGTAAACCTACCTTTGCCCACTCCTATATATATACATACACACACTCAGTTTCCACTGAAGGCAAGAAAAGTTACTCAATTCAGTGGATTCTGATTCTGGCACATACCGAGTAGTCAAAACACTTGCATATCTGTAATAAATATTGGTATTGCTCTCAGTCTGTGTCTGAACCATTGAGGTCTTAAAATTATGCCAAATTTTACCAAAAGAGAGGGCTATTAATATTGTGAGTGAAATGTCTTTCAAATAATATGCAAAACATGTTGGTATGATCTTTTCTTTTTTAAAAAAATATATTTTTATTGATTTCAGAGAGGAAGGAAGAGGGAGAAATAAAAACATCAATGACAGAGAGAATCACTGATCAGTTGCCTCCTGCTTGCCCCACACTGGGGATTGAGCCCACAACCCGGGCATGTGCTCTGACTGGAAATCGAACCGTGACCTCCTGGTTCATAGGTCGACACTCAACTACTGAGCCACGCCGGCCAGGCAGTGTGATATTCTTGAGAAATAGTGAGTGTAACCTTGAGGTTTTGTTCCCTATGCAAGAAGTCCAACTTGTGGCAGGACGGAATCACTCCTGGGAAGGGAACAGGAGACAAGCTGGGATGAGGATGAGTGGAGGGAAGAGGAGAAAAAAGCTCATAATACGCAAGAAACTCAGATATCTAAAATTACAAAACTGAAACCTTCAGCACCTTATATATCTGAGTAGAAGTAAGAGGTATACTTTATCTTCTTTTTTTTCTAGATAATATGGGGAATTGGCTTTTAAACCTATAATTCAAAGAATGACAACACATGTGTCTACAAACACTACAGACAACTTCTTTCCTATGAATCTGATTAGAGCTAGTAGTACGTGATTAAGGACCTTTCAGGTTCAATTCTCTACCTGAAAACTGAGAAAAGTTATAGTTTTTCCCTCCTCAATTTTGAGGAGAGAGTGAAGATAGGGAATATATAAAATGTAGTCACTTTAACCAAGTTGTTAAAATTATTAACATTATGATGGTTGGGGCGTGCGGAAAGATTCTATTCTTGTTCTAACTAGCCTGGGAAACTGAAAATTTTTTAACTTTCCAGTCTTGTATCAATGCCTGCATATATGTCTGGACATACACACCGGACCTCCAGATAACCCTTTGATTATTCCCCTGAACGGCTCATGTAGACCACCTGGCATCCATTAACCAGACCACAGCATGTGACCAGACCTCCTGGGATCCACCTTCCAGACCACCTGGCATCTATCATCCAGGCCACCTGACATCTGAAAGATAACCATCCTGGACCAGTCCTAGGGCTAAGAATGCAGGACTGAAAATTTTCAAGAGTGTACTTTTTACTATAAGAACTCTTAACTTTTCTTTCTTCTTTGGAACACTCTGGGTTTTTGTCTAGCTGTGTTCCCAGTTTGCAAACTCCAAGACCCTTGAATAAATCTTTTTCATTCATTTCTAGCCAAAGCTTCCAGACTCTTTTTGAGTAACAATGGACAATTTTCAAGGAACAAGAGACCAGAACTAGGGAGCTTCTGTAACCTCCGAGTTCCTAGGGCTCAAACACATAAATCTAGTTAAGAATATGACAGAGCATATAAATGCTGTCACTGCCACCTAGAGGTGAAGGGAAGAAACGGCTCAACCGGCCAAAATCACCCTCAGATTGCAGTCACAGGATGCATCAAAAAAATTTGAGTATATGAAAACACCATTTTAAAATAACAGTTGTCAGAGTACTATAATACTTCAATAGGTAGGCTTCTTTTAATCATTATATTTCCCATCTTCGAAGTACATTTTCTAAAATATAAAACACATACAGACCAAGCTTTTTAGCTTGTCCATGACTGCTCACAGATTGCAAACTACCTTCTAAACTGCTGTTATATAAGGCCAATGCATGAAAAAAACTTCAGGGAAAGCTAGTTGATTAAAAAAAATATAAAAAATACACACACTCACATATACACACAGAGGGGAAAACATAGGTTAACAGTTGTGATTACATGAAATATAGTTTATTCTTAAATCATTATTTATTAATTATTGTATTATTTTCCATATAATCAACTGTAAACCTACTTTTGCCGACCCCTGTATATGTTGGGGGAAGAACATAAACAAAGTTAGATGCTCATTTTAAACAATTTAAAGGGTCTATGAAAATACTGTCACCTCTAAAATTATCTGGTTATGGAAAACAAAACTTCCAATTATTATCATTTGAACTTAATTTTATAAGTCACATTACCATAAAACCTAAAAAAGACCACAAGAAAAACAAAATAATATAACCACTGTAAAGTATATTACTTGCAGGTGGGAAAAAAAAAAAAAGCAGCTAATGCCTCCTAAATACAAGAGGCCCTGACTCTGGAATCAGATCCAGGAATCCAAACTCCTGCTCCACTGCCAACCTGCTGGGATACCTCAGAAAAGTGACTTCCAGCTCCCTTACCTCTCTAACCCTCAGTTTCCTCAACTGCAAAAATGCATCAGCTGTAAGGTAATTCTGAAGACCGACAAATTATCCTTTTTGTTCTGTTTTATTAATCCTCACCCGAAGATATTTTTCCATTGATTTTTAGAGGGAGTGGAAAGGACAGGGAGAGACAGAGAGAGAGAAACATCGATTTGAGAAGACATCAATTGGTTGCCTCCTGCACGCACCCTAACCAGAGCCAGGATTGAGCCTGCAACCGAGGTCCGTGTCCTTGTTCAGAATCAAACTCAGGACCCTTCAGTCCAAGGGCCGATGTTCTATCCACTGAGCCAAACCAGCTAGGCGACAAATTATCTTAATACCCTAGGGCCTAGGGTCTTCAGAACAACTGCCATTGCATGAAAACAGGATGCGATCCTGGATCGCTGCTAGGAAAGATGTGTGCTTACATACGCATAACTATTCATACATGTGCATATGTACAGTAACCTGAAGACCATCTGGGCACACTCTATTTTTCTGAGTTGAACGTAACAGAAAGAAAAAGTGATCTTAATATACCCCTTAATTGGTCCACTCTAATAAACACCCTCCCTCCAAATGTCTCTTACCTAGCCAATCCTTCTTCATAGAGATAGATGACAAGAGGATCATAGGAAGTCACAAGCACATAGAGGCGCACATCAAACTTGAAATCTAGAAAAAAATTTGAATTCACAGGAAAAACTAAGTTCATTTGTTCTGTTACAGAATAAACAGGATAATGTAACAAAGAAACATGAAAAAACGAATAGCCCTCCTCTCCCCACAGAATACACACTGTCCACACCCCTTGCCTTTTGAGGATAAATAATAATTACACATTTTGCATGTATATATGAGGATTTATACATGTATATTGTACAGTTCTCATATATATTTGTTATTATATCACCTATAAAGCACTTTCTTTTTTATTATCTCATTTCATCTTTGAAATAATCTCATGAGGTAGGTAAGGAACCAGCCTCAGCTCTAAAGCCATAGTTGTTAAGAATTTCATATTAGCTTAATAAAGACTTACTAGTGATTGCCAGAGGAAAAGGGATGGGAGGGGGAATGGAAGAGGGTGTAGAGTTGATAAATAGTGATGGAAAGAGACTTGACTTGGGGTGATGAACACACAATACAATATACTAGTATATATGTTGTATTATAGAATTGTACACCTGAAACCTATATACTTTTATTAACCAATGTCACCCCAATAAA